AAGAGCGTGATTTTATATGTCCTACATCTTCATGGGTGTGCTGCTGTTATACCACTTTGGTGTCATACCACTAAGAGCTGACCGTGGAATATTTAGCGAGGAAATTTCAGAAATGGAAGTGACCAGAACACCTGATTTACTGATTTGGATGCTTGAGTGAATATTGTTAGTATAATGCCAAGTCCCAAACATTAGAGCAACTTCCCCAAGTCTCTTCACTCTTTCTTAACCCTGACTGTTGATTTCCGCTGCCATCATTTATCACTGCTTCCTCTTCTTTTATTGGACAATTACAGCTTGACATTGTGATAATTTGATGATTCTTGTTTTGTCTTGTTTTTTATTGCATAAAGAAAAGCTTTGTTACTTCTGCTGTGATAAATAAATGTTTTTCTGTCAAGTTATGTGCTTTTTAAATTTTTGTTTCTGATATTTTTTTTCTACTTCTTCTTCTACATGATGTCAAAGGACGTGGATAATGTTAATGTTGTTAATTTTTCAGGTATATAGCTTTAGCTTTGAGGACATAAGCCCCACCCTCCTGTCTTTCTTATCTTGTATTTGTGAGGGGCAACCAATTAGATAAGGGTTTTCTCACAGAGGGTAGGGCTGAATATTAGATGAAAAATTAGATGAAAGCTAAATAAGCCTCACTTGTCAATCTAAGTGGTCAGCTGGTGCCTTTTGGGGAAGTTTTAATGGATTATGTGACTAATATTCTGATAACTAATAATCAGCCCTGAGATCTGTGCTTCATCTCAGGTGAGTGAAATCAAGTCTTTTATTTGTTTATTACTTGGAACTTGGGATGTGTGGGACTAATCATCGTCATTGTCACTAGTCGTAAATGTGGGACTGTTAAAATTTAAAAATGATGCCCATTGCCAGTAACTTACTTTGTCCTAAATGTTGGCAACACTCTGCCACTAGATGGCGCATTGTTGAGAAATGCCAAAAATCTGTGAATCAAGCCCTGTGTTAACGACAGGAAATAAGCTTTCTCTGAAAGGTGGATGGGCTCTCCCTTGGCGATAGGATGAGGAGTTCAGTGATTATGGTTCAGATTAGAGCCGCTGCTCCTCCACATCGAAAGGAGACCGCTAAGCCTGTCGCCCCCTGGGTGTTCAGTGTTGTGCCAAAAAGTGATCCTCTGTCCAAAACTGATTTGTTTTCACGTGTTTCTTATGTGTAATGTCTTTACTTATATTGGTAAATACACTTTATAATAATAATAGATTGCATTTATATAGCGCTTTTCGAGACCCTCAAAGCGCTTTACATTACATTTCCACTATCCATTCACTGTCACGTTCACACACTGGTGGAGGCAGCTACAGTTGTAGCCACAGCTGTCTTGGGGCAGACTGACAGAAGCAAGGCAGCCATATCGCACCATC